TGGTCCAATTATGTCAGGGGCAGTATAAAATGTGCTAAGACTCCGATTGTCTTTAAAAACAAATCTTTTCTTTGCAAATTGATAGATGAAGTCAACATGTTCCTCCTCTCTTACGGATACTCTGCCCACATAGGGATATCGACTACAACTCTCCCAATATAAAGGTTGACAATGAGATGTCATATTTTCTTTCTAAAAGAAGACAAAAATATGGAGAACAATAATCCTTTCTTTTATAGCATTTGCTAAAATGCATTATAGTGCAGGAGACCGGGGCTAGAAGTCACACGGGTAAGTTGTCACAGAACTTAATTATATCTTATCTTAATATATTAAATGGCATATTTTTCTCTATAGTGTAGGTTGCTTCTATTGTGTTAGTCGGGTGTACGAAGTAGCTTGTTTCAAAAACATTGCACGTAATAATTACGAGCACTTCTTAAAAATTGGACGTGGTGACTAATTTTTTCTTACTTCTATTTTTATTGTTAATTTTATCTGTTAATTTTTGAAATTGCTAGTTGTAATTTCTCCTTAGTCATAAGAAATATTATAGTTTTAAGTAGTTTTTCCTGTATTTATGTTGACCGTCATTGCAACGAAGTTTATAAATATATAATCTTCTTCTTTCAAAATGACCATGCGGGATAAGTTGTCTCAAATGAGATGGGATTCAAAAGTTTATGATAATTATTATTCTTTTATGTATTCAAAGTTTATGAATGTATTAAAAAGTTTACGAGAATTTTTGTTTTTTTATTTACTCTAAAATTTATGAGAATTATATTACAAAGTTTATGAAAATTATTAATTTTTTATTTAATTCATGCTGCAATATATTATTAAGTCAAATCTACAAAAAACTGCCACTGATTTTAATAAAATATTAAAACAAAAACTATTTGTCGTATGTTTCCTCTATTTTACTGTAATGCACGCATATAATAAAGTAACACGTTTAATTGTATCAAATTAAAAGTTAATACGTTCAATCATGTTAAATGACATGATTTAAAATGGCAAAGAATGTGTGATAAGAGCTTCAGTTAAAATAACACACTTGGATTTGCAGTGTATATATGAAATGTACGTGACAACCAATCCAGAGACATGTGACAACCAACTCTGGATATGGGGTAAGTTGTCACATTTGTACGACTTTGCTTCGAATTAAATAATTTTTTTGTGTGCAAATATATATATTATAAATCTAATATTTTTTTCTTACACTTAAAAGATGTAGTTACATTATAAAGTAGTATACGATATTATAAATTATTTCTAACACACACACACACACACCCACATTTTTCTTAAATTAGTATTTGGAAAAGTGTGACAACCAGCCTCGGTCTTCTCTGTCATATATTTATAATTATAACGTAAAGATTATATGATCTAAGTTTATCTTGCTTCCATTTATATGCTCTTAAAGAAGAACAAACGAAACAAAAATAATCAAAAAAGAATGAAAAACATTATATTTTATAATATTTACAAATGTGTTTTATTTGAATGTATAGAATAAATTGCGTATATGCCGCATTGTATGCATTGTAACATAAATATAAATTGGTGTCTTAAAATATTTCTTATGTACACAGGTATGCGCATTGTTTGTGAGTCTACGTGATCTAAGCATTATCATTTGATCGCTCGTCATGTGAAATGAGAAATTTATGCGCTTGTAGTTGCCATAAAAATTTAATTTGAACAGCATATATGTCATTATTAAACAATTAAAAAAAAAGCAGTTTCTTATAATTTTTCAAAATAGCGAATTATTGCCTGTGTATGAAATATTGCAAACATATGCTTTGTGTTCTTAATGTTAATTTAATTTATGGGAGGGAAGGGTTTTAATGTTTCAACGATAGCTTTGTTTCAGTCCGACATTTAGCGGCTCGCAGTTTTAAATTGGAATATTATATGTTTATTCATCGATTGTAAGATATACTTACAAAGCACTAAAAACAAGCTTTGCTCGCAAGCCCCTTTTACGAAATTATTTATATCATGCGAAACATGACACACTAATTATTTATATATATATATATATATATATATTTTTTATTATTTATTATTATAAGATATTATAGATATATCATTATAAATAATTAAATATTTTAAAGAAAACCAATTTTATAAAATTTTTTTAATGAAGAAATGTTTTTTGCAATTCTGAAATACTACCACGTGGCAACAGAACACAGTAGAGCACACGCATGCACGAACACCAAAAAAAAAATGTAAAATTTAAATTGCTTACGTGTTTGCTACACTTACGCTTATGCTTCTAAGTAAGTGACTGAAATTTTCCAAAATATATTTTTTAATTTGTTTAATGTATCTTTTATCTAATGTTTGATAGAGCGTTATAGCGATCTAACAATCGAATCCAACAAAGGATCACACAGTAACGAAATTTGCCGGAAATTTGTCTCGGAAATGAATAAAAGAATTAATCTCTAGCTACTAAGTTTTATCGCTTTTTATACTACTTACTGTTTATCAGCAAGGCAGATTTGATTTTTTCCGTTTAAAAATGAAAAAATCATGAAAGAGAAGAAATGTTGAAGCACGTGGTTAGTAAGCTCATTCTCTTGTGCTGTGTAGGTTCACATATTATATGTAGGTATACAAGATTGCCAACTCCAGCGAAATACATGGACCTACATGTGGAATAGTGTTACGTCCAATTCCAGAGATTTAGGTAAATTACCGGAAAACAAAGAAAGACTAGCTAGAGGGTAGGGAGGTATGGAAGGACCTTTATGAAGCTAGCCGAAATTACTAAATTAGATTTAATTTTTAGTTTTTTCCATCTCTAAGTGTATTTTGTTTGTAAATCATTTGATTGTGAATCCGTTTTTTTAACGTTTGTAATCAAATAGGTTTTTTGTAATTAATAATTTTATTTTAGTTGTAATGTTCTTAGCCGACACTTTTAGTAATAAACAGATTTGGCGATAACTGATAACTATATAATTAATTGGAAATCGTTTGTGATTTACAAATATTATACATATATTATACATATATTATACATATAACCAGTATGTTTGCGAAATAATAATTTTTTTAATTTTTTGCAAAATAAGTTTAATTACTCATGGCTCCTGCGCACAAAAAGTGCGTTGATGCGTTCGTCGTGTGCACTTCGCGCATGTGCAGTACGGTTATTAACTAAACTTATTTTGCAAATAATTAAGAAACTCACAAAGGTAACACTCGTATATTTGTAAATCACAAACGATATTATAATTACAGTTATCGGATATCGCAAAATATGTTTATTACTAAAAGTGTCGGGTGCAGATATCACGACTAAAATAAAATTGTTAATTACAAAAAAAATTGACCACAAACGTTAAAAACGGACTTACAAAATCTATCACAAATGATTTACAAACGAAATTTACAATTAGAAAAGTTAAAAATAATCGAATTTATTAATTTCTGTCGGCTGGCTTCATAGAGGTATATGGAAAAGGATGCAAGCAGATTAAAGGTATGTACATATAGCGTTTTCTACTAGAAAAACTATCCAGACAACACATAACACTATAAAGGTCCGGTTGCACCTACGTCGCATAATATTTAACTTTAGCTTAACTCACTCTTTATCTCTTTCTAATTGTGCCCTTTGAAAGAGATGACGAGTGACCCAGATAGCCAAGCGTGTCTGAGCAAAATCGCGCAAACCTGTGATTGCATATAATGTTGGCAACTTGCCGTATATTTGCTTCAATTGATTTCGAGTAATTTAATATTTGAAGCAACACGCAGGCAACATTGGATATATGTATTGCCAGCAATTTATCGGCAAGAGAGCAGCATCAAATTTACTTCGCATTGCCAGCAGTACGACAGCATTGTGTGAAAGACACCTTTATTTGATACTTGTTGAAAAATCCATTATAATAAAGGTAACTTTTTGTCATCTTTTTATGATGCTTTCCAATAAAGACAAAAAGACTTGTTAAACATATCTTTCCGGCCAATCAAAAATAGTTATTATTTTATATTTATATTAAACATCAAAACTCAATATATGTGTCAATCGAAAAAGTAAAAACTGTTTTATTAAGTTTTATTGTGTTTGCGAGATAATCCGGTTGTAGCTCCGTTAGTAGTCACTGGCTACATTCAGCAGAGGAAACTGTTCTGCAACTGTTGTAAAATTTAGGAATCTGATTTGATGTAAGGAAGACCGGGGCAGACCCGACACAATTTTTTTAAAGGCAATTTTCAACAATTAATTAAAATTTTCAAGCAAATTTAATGGTACACATTTAAAGAGTGTTCCCCCAGGTACAAAATTGCTTAAGGAAGTTTTGCTGTATATCGCTTAGTTTTGCCCCCAGGAAAGGAAAAGTGACGCAAAGACATATTTTTAAATTGAAAAATTCCGGGGCAAACTCGACACTTTGCCTGATCGACACAATTTGATTTGAAACTTATTTTTTATTGTCTGAAACTAAACATACATTGTTTATCGTGTATTTAGAAAGTACAAAAATTCGGAATTAAGTAAAACAATCATTGGAAATAATGAGAACAAAAATTGTTGAACATTCAATTATTTTCATCTAAACTCATATCTGAAAAACAATTTATGCAAGTAAATTCGCGATTAGACGTGAGCACATATTTGTCATGGGCCATATAGCTGCATGACAAGCATCGACTTTGCCCCGAACGTCGTTTTGCACTTTTGTCACTCCAAAAATTTAAAAATTTTGAAAATAAGCACTATTATTGGATTCGTTTAGAGCATCAAATTTTCCATCAACATCACTTACCGATAGATTCGCAAGAGTAAAGCTCGATGAAAGAGTAGAAATTTTCGAGAGATCAGAAAAATTACTTTTCACTATCAAAAACGCTTATGTCGCGTTAAAACTCGTACCATAACTCAGAATGTCACCAAATTCCGTTTATAATACTGGCACATAAAGACGCATTTACAGTAGGAAAGGCAAGTTTCTACGATAGATTTAAATTGGCAAAAAGCTTAGTGTCAAGTATGCCCCGATCTCCCCTATACTTTTAGCTTTTACCGGAGCTAAAAGCATACACTAATCAAATTGACGAATTTTACAACAGCAGCAAAGCAGCTTTCTCTGCTGAACGCAACAATTTTCAATTCCCTTCGATTTTGTACATACATATAATGTTTCTGAAAAAATTATTGTTTACCCAGATAGCAACGTGTAGTCTGAATTAATTGTTGTTGGAATTTTGTCGTCAAATCATAGCATGCGTTGTTATACCAGAATATTTCGTTTTTATTTAGACATTAACTTTTTTTTACACAATCTAATTTAAGCACCAGACAATTTTTACAAAGTAAGCATAAAATTTCGTAATCATAAAAATATAAAAAGTAAACATGAGTAAGAATTTAAGTAAATTAATACATGTCCTAAAATAGTAGTAATCAAAAACTATTTAAATTATTATTAAAAACTATCAAATATTATGAAAATGTATAGACGGACACATGCGGATATCTTTTCTTCCATTGCTTAACTAAGCGATCACTAATATCACAGTTTATAAAATAAGACTCTTGCAGTTTTGGACATTGTTCCAAAATAACGGAATATTTATCAGGTGTATGAATTTGCGATTTAAAAATACATAACTTTTTCAAGTTTTTACACTGCGCCAGTAATTCTAACTTGTGATCAGTGAGGACAAAATGACACAAACAAATTTCTTGCAAGTTTTGATAGGAGGAAAGTAATCTAAATAAGCTGATATCAGTATAAGCTGGGTATTTGTATCTGTAACAAAAATCATATAATTAGTACAGTATTTTAATTGCAAAGAGAAAATTCATGTAATTTTTTCCAGATGCTTGCAAGAGAAGCAAACACACAAATTTCAATAAAGAATACAATAATATGTATTTAAAAAAAAAATGTAATAAACACACTCACTGAAAAAGGTTTATTTTTCGTAAATTCTTACAGTCAGCAAAGGCATTGATACCCCGAGATGTAAGATGACGTACTTCCATATTTGAACTTATTACTTCCAAGTCAGGACACGACTTTCCCAACTCAATTAGGACTGCATCTAGGTTTAAGTCTCTTTCAAAATACATTTCCAAATATATCTCACGCATCCGTTGATTTTTGTGCAGTATTTTACAAAGACGTTGCGTTTCTATATGTGTATCAAGAAGATTTAGATACTCCAAACCATTTAGCCTCTCGAGATACGAAAATTCTTCGTCGTCTACGCGACAATGAATTAAAGCCAATTCTGAGAAAAATATGTATTTATGCAATTTATCCATAAACCTTGACAATCATATATTCCATATGTATATATGTGTATACATACCTTTCAAATTTGTGCATATCTCTGAAATTTTAAGTAGAGCATGACTATCATCAATTAATTTGCACCTACTTAATTTTAAGTGCGTTAGATGCTTGCCGCAATTATCAATAAACTTTACAAAATCCTTAACATCAAAGTTGCTTGCTGTAAGATCTAACTGTCCCAAATATTTACATCTGGGTGTAAAATAACAAAATATATCGCGTATATATTTGTCAGGTACAATACGTATGTTCAAACGTGTATAGAGTCGAGGGTCTCGTATCAAATCATTGAAGCGTTTATTTACATAATTCAAGCGACATAACGTCATCAAATCCAAGTTTTTTAATATTATTAGTAGTATTTCATCCTGCAAAAGTAAAACATAAAACTTTAATACACGAGCTGACATTGCAATAAATACTATATATTATGAGAAATAGATTTTTTTAGGATACTTTACAGAAAACTCAGACAAACTGCGTGATAGCTCTTTGGATTCATCCGAAGAGAGTTTCATACTCTTTACACAATTCGAATGACTTTTTAATAAAATATGAGGTGAGTTTTT